CATTACTCTCGAGGTTACAGACTCACAGCTGGGTGAGTAATCATTAATCTGTGGCGGCTCCAGACGTCACAGTGGTCACAGGCTGATCGCAGGATAATCGATCATTAAGTCATTCAGAAAAATCCTCACAGACGAGGTCACAGCGAGTTGAAGAGGTTTTTTCATCTTATGAATGAAAAAGAAAAATGTAACTAAGTACACAGTTTCCAGGTACTTACGCTTAAATTATTTCTATGTTCTGGTATTTTCGACCTCTGCTACATTTATTTTACAGCTTTAGTTCCAGATTAATTTAAAATATAATCAGTATTAAATTAAATGAGCTCCACCTTTACAGCTGCAACATGTTGAACACATTAATGCAATAAAATATAATAATATAATGTATATTATTCTGAAATGGGACATTCTGCTTTAGGTATATTTTGTTGCTGAAAAATTTCTACTTTTACTCAAGTGAGATTTTGAAAGCAGGACTTTGTAACAGAGTTTTTCTACACAGTGATATCACTGATTTAACTAAGATAAATTATCTGTGTATTTCTCCCAGCACTGTCTGAAGACTGATGTCAGATTCTAAATGAATCATGCATTTTATAATATAAGTTTTAGGCTTAAATGTGCATATTTGTGTATGTTGGAACTATCAGCTGTGATTAGGAGCTGCTGATGGAAAACACCTGATGTGACTTCACTGATTGAGGCATGGAGAGCAGCTGGAGCTTTATGTTCATCTGACTTTGTGCTGAAGAACCTGTGAAGCGAAACAGCTTCAATAAATCTTCAGGATCGACAAATTACACGCTGCTAAAAACCTAAATGACCTATGTTTACTGCTTTTATGTAAACATTTATTTGGTTTGCATGCATGTATTTTTAACTCTATCTACTGCCCTCACTAGGCCACGCCCCCATGTCTAAGTGGAGGATTCCACACAACTTTCCTTTGTTTTAACAGCTTTTTGCTCTGATCAGAGACACAGGTTATTTATAGAAACCAAATGATGTGCACTGTATCTGATCACTTTCAGTTTTAGTGACAGAGTTAACTGCAGGTTAGCTTCTGAATTCATGCTAAAGTCAGACGTGTGTTTGATCAGATGTGAAACGACCTGTCAGTCTGATAGAAGACAGTGACACCTTGAGTTTGACTATCTTATCCCTGCCACATGAGAACACTTAAAGTACATTTTAAAGACTAAAGCCTGGCACCTCTCACATCTACTGAAGCTCTGAGATTTTAGTCACACACTAAGATTTTGCAGAGACATTGGGATCTTGAAGGGACACTGTTTGGAGACTACAACTGGATTCCTTTCCCACACCAAACTCCCTTTAAGAAATACAACATTAACAGTTCCTTATGTCTTGGCATAAATATAATAAGCGTTTGTATATCAACTTTACATTTTGGATTTTACCTGAATCTGCTGCCAGCCTTCGTTGATTAGCTGCTCCATTTTAGTGGGAGGAGACTGTGGGAATAAGAGGTGAACCATTTCAAAAATAAAGATTTCTCACTAAAATAAGTGCTGGTTGGTGGATCAGATTCACAGCGAATTAAACATGAAATCTTGCTCACTCCACAGCTCCACCAGAGCTACTTTTGGCTACTTTTCAGTAGGAAAGGGTCTTTGCAGCACAGACCTGAAACCAGTGTTTCAGCAGGGGTAGAGCCACACTTTACCCTTTTCCACCAAAGCAGTTCCAGTGCTGGTGCTGAGCTAGTGCTGGTACTCAGTTGGTTCAACTTGCAAACTAACTGAGAACCAATTTGCTTTTCCACAGCTTGAGGTGGTCGAGTTTGTTTTGAACCTCTGCAGACGACCATAAGGCAAGGAGACAGCTTGTTTCCTCGACAGACCACTGTTGCTTCGATGTGTCCGTGGCTTCACTCTTGGCTTCGGTCTTGTTTATTGTTGGTCTCAATAACCCCGCCCCCTTCCCTGTGACGTATGTGGTTCGTTCTTCTAGTCCAGCAAAGAAGTGGTGCCACTCTGGAACCGGTTTTTCTGGCCCAGAGCCAGTTCTTTTGTCTGTCGAAACAGGAAAACCGGTTCCAAATTAAGCACTGCTTTGGTGGAAAAGGGGCCATGATGGGGGTCAGACCAAACCTAGAGGGGTCTGAGGGAGATTTCGTCCCCATTTACTCAACTCAACTTTATTTATAAAGCGCTTTAAAACAACCACAGCTGAAACAAAGTGCTGTGCAACTTTATGTTTTTTTTTTTTTTTAAATCATTTGAGATGATGCGATGCTGAACATATTTGCCAAGGTCGTTGTTGACTCTCTTTATCATTCTGAAACCAGAACACAACCAAAGGTTGGGGAAGACGTCACCCCTGAAGTCTTTTAATAGGGCAAACATTGTCTGTCACTTTTAAATTACCTAACATAGGTTGGGACTTTGGCGTAAACAGCCTCACTAATCTTGAAACCAATTAGAGTTCACAGAAGAGACCTTTATCTGACCAATCTGCTACTTTTGAAACCGTGACACTTAAAGCTTGGTGCGTTTTAGTGACACACTTTTGTGCAACTTAGCCTTGGTTTGTTTAGCGACATCCCTGATCGTTTCCTAACCATAACCAAGCAGTTTTGTTGTCTAAGCCCCTCCTGCATCAGGGTACAACACAAAAGGCTGCACCACAGCATCGGTTAAGTAACGTCTGCCTCTGCTCGAGCTGCAAAATATGACAAGTAGGGACAAGATCACGCTGGACCAGAGATTGCTGCAGCACCAAAAACTGATTCAGCAGCCAGTTAATAATGAATCAATGTAGCTGATAGCAGAGAAACTGGTTATAACATGGATCAATTGATTGATTGATCAGTGCGTCCCTAGTTTTATTGTGATTCTCACCTCTGGTTTGATTTTCGGGTGAGCCTGATGAGATTAAACATTTTATGCTAATCTCAGTTTGCAGAATAAAACCTATCAAAGTGAGCTTCACCTCAGCATGTGTGCAGCATGTTGAGATGTTGGAGGTCTTGTCAACACCTCGTGGTGTCCTCTGAGGGCGTTTGGCGAGGGGAAAGTGAAGGAGAAGTTCTCCTGCTTGCTGGATTTGGCCCTGCGGGCTGCTGCATATGCTGCGATGGATTACACTGATCCAACTTAATGCCTAAGACCGTGCAATCATTCATAACTACAGGAGCTGTTGAGGGCGCAGCCATGGATGCTCCCCGCACCATCTGCCGCTGCGGGGAGGATTAACTTCGAGGAAGATGTTGAAAGGTGGGGGTGGGAGGGCTCGTGTCGACCCTGAGCTGTTGACCACCAGAAAACAGAAAACACTCACTCTCAGGAACGTCACACTTTGACAAAACATCACACTTGTTTTTTTAAGCTGTCTGATCATTTTTAATTAAATCTGTCTGTTTAATAACTTGACAAAGTGCCGAGCAGAGACTGTGTAAATTAAGGGATGTAGCCGTCATGGTGTTAATTAGTGGTTTGCGGACTCCTGTTTTAAAGACTCGAGTTTGGCATTTCTGCCGCTGTTTGAAAAACTCCCGAGTCGTCTTCTTAATAAAATTCCACACTAGATCTTATAAAACAGGACTCTGCACCTGCACGGTTGTTTTTGCCGTTTCATTTCCTTTCCTGCCCCAAATCAGTCAGCAGCAAACAGATTTCTGTCTGACCCGATGTGATCACTCAGACTGGGTGCGCAATAACAAATGATCAAACGAGTGTGTCATGCATAAAGGTGTCTCTGGTAGTGATGAACATCCAAGAGAATGATCAGCTGAATCTGCAGCTCCTCTCAGCTTATACGGAGCTTTGAGTTTCAGCTCCATGTTTATCTGTACTGCAGCGAAAGACAAAAGACCAAAAGAGGAGTTAAAAGAGAGAATATTGGACTTGAATTCATCAAGTAGGTACAAACCCTATTCAAATTTTATATATATATATATATATATATATACATACACATACACACACACACACACACATACACACACACACACATACACACACACACACCAAGAATTATAACAAGGTGCTGATCACTAGCAGTGCTAGTAGCAGCACCTTGTCATCTAATGATTATCAGCTGTGTGACAAGTGTTGACTACATAACAGATCAGTGTACCTGTGTCTCAATATGATGATCATTAAGAAGGCCCAAAAGCTGAAATATCATCATCAAAATAAAAGAAATGCATATGGAGCCAGAGTGTGCAACACCGTAGTTCAGTCAGGACCACTTTAATCAAAGAACTTTATTTCCATTTGCAGTCTTATATTTGGTGATATGGCTGTTTTGGGGCATCTCTGCCCTTCCTTGGGTCTATGCAGAAAGCCTAAGGTGGAGAGAGCACACCTCTCTGCCCTTCCATGCGCCTACATGGAAAGCGTAAGGCAGGAAGAGCAGCAGCAAAGACCCCCTGGGAACAGAACAGAGCAGCATTATTGACAAACAGAAATGACACCATCCACCCATCTGCCAACACTGTTGGTGTCTTGTGAGACTCTAAAGCCAAACCCTGTTCTTTGTTCCTAAACCCAGCCACTTGCACTTGTTGTTGAAGGAAAAAAGTCAATTCGCAGTGTTGTACCAATGTAGTGTTTTTATTTTGAAAGAGACTGTATGCAAACTGTACATTTCCTGTGAAAACAGAAGTGTATTTTAAAAACAGACAATGCATGTAACAGGCTGAAGTTGACACGGTGTCCCAGAACGTCAACAACCAACACACCCAGGGTACCTTGGACGTCATATGTGGACGTAGAAAGTCCATGACCAAACGTGGACATGTGACGAGATCAGAGTGAGGATGTGTTGAAAAATATATACTTTTGAGATGTAGAGAAGGAGTGTTTGAATTTGTACTTAAGTGAAGTGCTTGAGAACATGTACTTACTTACGTTCTATAACTGCTCAGGAGTCCGGCTGAGAACAGCTGCATGTTGCCTTTAACCACTTTTCCCACACTCTGACCTCTGAAACAAGACCAACACTAAAATCTTGTCCTGTTTGTGTCCCCTCAGAGAATTGACGCCCTGCCCTCCAATCATCAGGAGAGTCGATCCGCCCACAGGAACCCCCTCCACCAGGACACACACACAAACTGCTGCTGCTGTGCTTCAAGAAACAGCATCTGCCGCCCTTTTTTTGGAACTCTGTGCCTTCAACCAAAATTCACCAGTGATACTTCTGAAGCTTTTTTTTTTTTTTTGAGCAGGACTCAGTGGATTTACCTGCCTGATGTGGGAGGGCCTGGAATCGTGCTGCTGCTCTCACACTTTTTGTCTCTGGAGTTAAAAAGAAAACCTATCGAGGACATGCAGCTTCTGATCATTTTAACGTCCTTACGTGTTTTTTTTTGTTTGTTTGTTTTTGGTTTGTTTTTCTACAAATTGTGTCAGTGATTTACTTCGTATCGGAAGAAATCCCTCGCTGTGCAATATCAGTCCATATTTATGTGAAGTTGTCATGTGGATGTAGACTTTGGACGAACTTTTTGGTTTATTTTTGTAACGATGTTTTCCTGATTTCTATTTTTCTAAAACGATGACGGTGTAAAGACAGATGAGTGAGGAGGAAAAAAAAATCATCTGAACACATTTCAAGGGAGAGAGGACGTTTGGTTGTTGCTGAATTTGTCCAAGTTTAGTTTTCCTCGACTGCACCCCCTCCTGCTCTGACTAGAGCCAAAGCCATAGCCTAACTCAGATAACAACACACCAGTGTCCCCAACAGCAAGATGCATTCAGGGTCTCACATCGGGGGCCGACACCACAGGCTCCTCTCGTCAGCTCATCTTAGCTGTTGGATTTTATGAGCGATGTTTTGGTTTCTACTGTTTGTTCAGGGGCTTGAATCTGAAGTATTTAGTATTTCTCTACCTTTGTGTGGCCTGTTCTTCTTGCTGTTATTTTGTACTTCCTCCTACATATCAATCAAGCAACTATAAGTGGCATGAGTATGTGTGTCAGTGAGAACAATGAGTGAGTGTGTTCGCCAGAATGGGAGCTGAAATACTGTGAATTCTCAAATAAAAGCAGAATAATGGCCATATATCCTGTGACTGAAAGGCTGGAAATGAAGGAAAGGGAGAAAGAGTTTAAAAATTTAGCAGTGGTAAGAAATGCCAGTTTGATTAGTTAGTCAGATGCTGTTATCTGGTCTCCAGCAGTTTGATGTTTGGCCCTAAGTCACATGTTTTCTGCCCCTCTGAAGATTAAGGAAGATTTTTCTTTAACAGGATTAAAGCTGGAAAAGGCAAAATACCCCCTCCTCCTGCAGCTCTCTACCCTCCGGCACACAGTTCATTCACTCAACCCCTCCTTGCTCCACTCTCTTTTGATCAGACCACAAGAGTATCTTTTTACACTGCCTGTTCAGGGGATTTAAAATGCAAAAGAGGAATAAAGAAGGGAGTTTGTAGCGGCCCTGTAGCGAGATCTGTTTAAAAGTGCTAAGAATTAGCTGCTAGCCACTCCGCTCCACTCTGGTCCCTCCGCCTCACTCCCCACCACTGTGGACTGCTTCACTGGGAGGAGAGCAGACAGCAGCTTGGGAGACGGACCTTCGATGGCCGGCTGTAGTGGGTAGCATTCAGCCAGTGCTGGGTGTCACAGTGGGCTTGTGGTCAGCGGCAGCACTAGGTCTAATCCTTGTAATGGCAGCAACAGAAAGTTTGCTGATACGGCAGCGAGTGGGGCTGTCCCCGGAGCTGGGGTTTGCAGTGGCTGGATTCAGGTTACTGCAACCGATGACTGGGGGTCAGTCACCAGAGCTGCTGCTCACTCTTCTCCCTGCGAGGTGGTCTGTAGTGGCGGGGAGTGAGGTGGAGGACAAACTGTGATTTGAGGTTCTAGCTAACGTTGGCTACAAAACAACGTTTTGACAGACGGAGCCCTCTGTCTGTACCCTGCATTCATTTCATGGCTATCTGTGTACGTTTTCTGAAAGCTTACAGATGAGACAAAACACAGCAACACTGCAGGAAATCATGGGGGCAGTGTAGCATAGCTTCAGTGAGACAACTGTAGGACAGAAGGAAGACATTTCCAAAAATTAATTGGAATGAATCGTAATAGTCAAAAGAATTCTCCATCCATGTGTTGCAATGTATTTGATTCTGAAAGCTCAAATATATTTAGCTTTGGGAAACAATAGTACTAATTAAATCCCAGTTTAATGGTTTATTTCTCAATTTTAACTGTCACATGATCAATTCTGCAGTCTTCCTGCCGTCTTGACAGATGTCATGGACTTTCGCAAGTCAAAGATTTCCTATCTTTACCATTTATCCAATATGATGTTAATGCAGCATTAGCCCCGCTAATAGTTTGTTAGATTTGTGCCTTGTTAGTGGATGTCAGGTTGGTAGCAGCTAAGCTACTGATGGATCTGTTCTTCTAATGGTGAGAAAAAGGATGGAAACACGAGACTTTCGGTAACAAGATAATGTGAAGAAAATGTAGGAACAAAGATTGATCTAAAAGTTTAAGTGTCTTGTTATGAAAAATACATTTCTGTATATGTTTCACACTGTAAGTCTTATCAGGGAAATGAAGAGACTGTGGACCCTGAACATCTGGAAGGCTTGTAATGTGAAACAGAGGACAGAGGAAGTTAACAGATCAGGAACGAGGGATGCTTCAGAACAAATATGATTGAATTTACTTTCAAAAACAGACTTTATTCAGAATAATTTCCTCTTTCTACCAGAAACTTGGGCCGCTGTTTGAGAATTTACAGTATTTCCTGTTTTATTGTTTTGATCCTGTTTTCTGCAGTAGGTGAAATGTGTTCTGTGTATCCTTGAAGCTGCTATCCCTGTACTGTGTAGATCGGAGATGTCCAGCCTTATCCCTGAACTCCTGCAAACATCCTCCATTAGTGCTCCATATACCTCACACACTAACACACTTTCATCAAGAACTCAATTAAACACATCAGAGCTTCAGTTTGTGCCTTTCAGGGAATCGTCCTTTTCATGTTTAAGAATTGATTTTCATCCAAAAAGACTCTTTTGAAATTGTACAGTAGATTTATTTAACATGTTTTACAGGGTGCATCTGTAACAAAGATGTTAACGACTGTAGAGGAGATACAACAGGCTATAAAGTATGTGGAGACGTGATGGTTGAACATGTTTTGATTTTGGGACCTGGCTGCAGAGATTTCCTGTCATCAGGATGCACATTCAAAAATTCCCTGCAGGTGCCAGGTAACAATTATCTTCAAAAACAAACAAACAAACAAACAAAACCCCACAATGCCATCCTGCTCCCAGTTCTTTTATTCTGTTTTGAAATGTCAGTGATTCGAACACACCTGAGGAAGATCATTTGTGCTTCAAACCAGTGGTGAACTAACAGCAACGAAGGCCTTCTGCTGTGTTGCCGTGTCTCAACCAAAAAGACTACAGTTGACGGTCAACCAGCACGTACGTTCTGCACCCGCATGAGAGGAAATAACTCTACACCAGCAGACGGTGGTCGTCTGTAATCATCTTTCATAAAGGGAATCTGGAGGACGGTCTTGACGCTAGTTAGTTGGCTAGCATGTTAACAACACAATCAACATTGAAAGAACAGAGCATGCGTAAGTGTGCCAGTGAATAATGTGAACCATCAGGACACGTTTCTGCTAAAGAGCTCAATAGATAAAGCAAAATTATTTTATGCTGTGTTTAAGCCGGGTGCAAATAAAACAATTCACATGACTGAATTTCATGAAAGTCAAAAGACGTGATTAGACGCAAATTCCTGTTTGGCAGTGCGATGGACGTGACTCAGAAATGCAAATTAAGTAGCGCAATTTAGAGTCATGCATTTTGGCGAGAGTTGCAAGTCAACACAATATTCTAGGGCTCAAACTTGCACGACATAAAGGCCTTTGCACACTGAGTCAGTTTTTTTTTTTTACCTGAAATTGTTGCACGTATAAAAATAACTTCACCTTGTGTCAGTCACGTTTGCACACTGAGTCTGAAACTTTCGTGCATCCTCAGTGTGCAAAAGCCTTAACGTGACACGACCATTTGCATCATGTTTGGTGTGAACACATTACTTTGTGTAACAAGTTTGTTTTGGTCTCAGTCCCTCTGGACTTTAGCTGTCCGTTCATGTTCCTCACTACTGTTTCTCTTATGTGCTGAGGGCCCAACAGTCGATCGTCGGCATGGTGTGTCATGGTGGAGGCTGTGGGTTGCTTTTTATTTAAACATCCATATACATAAAGATGGATGACGTGTCTCCACTTCCTCCCATTGTACAAAAATGAAGCCAAAATATTGCTTGGTTTTGTTTGTTTGTCAGCAGGATTGTGGGAAAACTGGCCCAAATTTCATGAAACTTGGTGTAAGGACGTAGCTACGTCAAAGGAAGGACCTGTTAAATTATGTGGCGTATCTGAATCAGGGGTCGGATACATAAATTATTTTTCACTGTCATTACCATTATCGGGCATTTTGGTCTAGTTAAAGAGTCCAGCTGTTTTACTTCTGTCACCGAACAGAACTTGTAATACACAAACTCTGATTTCATCTGAGGCATAAACTGAAGCTCCTGGTCCACCATCAAATTAAACATTTTGCAGAATTTTTGAACATTTCTTGAAAAGCGACTGTTTCTTTTCTTTTTAAATGCATGGTTCTGACTGAACACAGCCCCACATTCATATCCACCCAGGGACGTTGTGTTCTGCCAACAGTAGTGGAGGTAGTTTCCTTCTGTGTGGAGTCCGTAGACTTTGCTGCCTGTGAGTGTGAATCATCCGTGAAGCGGACCTTCTGACTGACACCATTCCCCAAAACAAACGCTGCCAAATTGGTCTGAATAAGCCAAAAGTCTGACGTTCTCTGTGTATAAGTGGTTTAAGTGTATCACATGTTAAACCTCATCCCGTTAATGTTACATTGTGTTTTTAACAGAAAAGAATCCTGTTTGTTAAATTGTTAATAATATATGCAGAAGAGTTATGAAATAAACTGAAACACTCATGTCGGCTGGTTGCATTTCATTGTTTGTCCACTTGATGGAGACATTTTCTAACTTTCAAACTCAACATCTCTCAGCAGTGTGTGGGCAGGTATTTATAATGTGGTTATTTGATTGAACACATTCATTTTAGGGTTCTTTAACATGATGAACTAGATTTTGACACAATGAGCTTCCAGGGTGCCCTTAGAGACTGAACTATTGACTCAAAATTTGTTTAAATTATGTGTAGAAAGATGCAATAATTTAAAATAGCCTAAATAATAATGAGTGTATGAGTGTCCGCTGGGACTGCACTTGGACGTGTACTGAAGTAAGCATGTTGTGTCATTTCCGGTGTTTCTGTGATAGTGTCTCTGTGCTGCTCTAGCGAACTCCTACCAGCTTGTTTTCTTTTTCTCCTCACTTCAGTTGCTTAACATCTAATTTATGTCTTAACCCACACTAGTTCTGTTTAAGCACTTAAAGCTCTCCTCTTTCTAATGACTTTCTTGCTAATCTTAGCTGTTTGCACGTTATTAGCCTTGTTAGCTACATTAGCTTAGCAATGGCTTCTCCTTCTGCTCTTTCTTGCTCTGTGTGCCAAATGTTCAGTTATGTCTCTGCCTCCTTTAGCGACAGTGGTAAATGTAACAAGTGTAGCTTATTTGCTGTGTTGGAGGCGAGGCTCAGTGAATAGGAAGCACGGCTCCGCACCATGGAAAATCACTCTGTAGCTGTGGTAGTTAGCCAGCCCCCTGTAGCTGGCGCGGCACCACTTAGCATAGCCTCTGCTAGCGGTCCCCTGGTGACCCCCGTGCAGCCCGGAGGCTGCGTAACTGTCCGGGAGAAGTGTGGTACCAAGCTGAAGCCCACGGTTCACCACCAGCCTGTTCATGTTTCTAACCATTTTTCCCCACTCAGCAACACACCCGCTGAGGATAAAACTCTGGTTATTGGCAGCTCTATTCTGAGGAACGTGAAGTTATCAACACCAGCGGCCATAGTCAAATGTATCCCTGGGGCCAGAGCGGGCGACATTGAATCAAATTTAAAACTGCTGGCTAAAGCTAAACGTAGATTCAGTAAGATTGTTATTCACGTCGATGGCAATGACACCCAGTTACGCCAATCGGAGGTCACTAAAATTAATATTGCCTCGGTGTGTGAATACGCAAAAACTATGTCGTAGTTTTCTCTGGACCCCTCCCAAATCTGACCACTGATGACATGTTTAGCCGCATGTCATCATTTAATTGCTGGCTGTCAAGGTGGTGTCCAGCAAACAATGTGGGTTTTATTAATAATTGGCAAACTTTCTGGGGAAAACCTGGTCTTATTAGGAGAGACGGCATTCACCCCACTTTGGATGGCGCTGCTCTCATATCTAGGAACCTGGCAAAGTTTATTATTAATTCAAAACCCTGACAACCCAGAGTTGAGATCAGGACTCAGAGTCGCAGTCTTATATGCTTCTCTGAGCTTCTAGTGCAGTTACCCACCCATAGTTTTATACAAACGTTGTCTGTCCCCCGACTACCTAAATTATCTAAATCTAAAATTAAACAAAGATGAGTTGTGCATAACAAAATCATAAAAATTAAAACCTCATCTGTGACAGACAGACAAAACAGGAGAATTAAATGTGGACTGTTAAATATCAGGTCTCTATTGTCTAAAGCAGTGTTAGTAAACCAATTGATATCAGATAATCATTGATTTACTCAGTCTCACTGAAACCTGGCTGTGTCAAGATGAATATGTTAAGTCTAAACGAATCCACTCCTCCCAGTCATAATTCCCACATTCCTCGAGGTAGCGGCCGAGGAGGGGGAGTTGCAGCAATTTTTAACTCTAGTTTGTTAATCAGCTCTAAACCTAGATTATAATTCCTGTCACTTGCATGGCAGCTGCATGTGCTTGAGCTCTTGGCATCTTGAAGAATTTTATTGAAATTCTAACATTTTTTAAAAGATTTTTAATCAATCTTTTGTACACTTAAACGTTTCATGAAAACCCACATGTATATGAAGTCTGGAGTGGTGGATGGTTTTTTCTCACTGTGATATCTGGATTCCTGCTACCTCGGCCTACTACATCTACCGTGGTTGAGACAGCCTAAGCCAGTGAGAAGATCACTTCTGAATTTTTGGACTGGTGAAAAGAATTCTGTTTTGTTGAGTGTATTCCTGCCTACGGTACATCCTGGTAAGAGTTCTATCCTAAATCTGCTTGAGAGTGAGAATATTATCAGATTTGAGGATGTCAACCCGCAAGAATATAAACACTCGCAAGATTTGAAGTGATGAGTCAGTTGTAACTATGGACATGCTCAAGGACATGTTGGAAAAACAGAAAAACTAGCAGTTCTTAGAAGGGCAGAGCATCTCAGGAAAAAGAGGAGGAAGAAGGAATATGCTAGGACAGGTTTTTCTTCAGGGACCCTTTTAAGTTTGTTAAAGGATTGTTCAGCCAGGAAAAGGGAGGGCAGCTTAAAGCAGAAAGGCTAGAGGTTGAAGAATATTTGTGAAATACATATTCAGATTTAGAGAAGAATAGGATAGTAGGTTTTTCACCTTATATCCCTCCATTATTAGGGTTAGTGCATGAGATGGATGTCATACCACCAACGTGGAAGGAAGTTCAGGAGATGGTCGGGCGTGCAAAGGCTTCTTCGGCCCCAGGGCCTAATGGAGTCCCCTACCGGGTTTATAAAAGTGCACCTGATATCCTTAAATTTTTGTGGAAACAGCTAAGAATAGTTTGGGAGAAACAAATTATACCAAGAGCATGGCGTAGGGCAGGTTGTGTCCTTATTTCTAAGGAGAAGGAGTCTGTGGACCTTAGCCAGTTCTGGATGATTTCTCTCTTGAATGTTGAGGGGAGGATTTTCTTTTAGTGTAGTTGCACAGAGATTAGCTAGCTACTTAGAAAGGAATAGCTTAATAGATACCATGGTGCAGAAGGCAGGAATACCAGGTTTTTCAGGGTGTTTAGAGCATACTAGCATGATCTGGCACCAGATTCAGGCAGCGAAGATTAATAAAAGGGACCTTCATGTAATATTTTTAGATCTTGCAAATGTGTTTGGTTCAGTACCGCATAGCCTCATTTGGAGTGCGTTTGACTACTTCAGAGTGCCACAGGTAGTTGTCAACTTAGTGAAAGCATACTTTCAGCATATTAGGTTGTGTCTAAGTACGGCAGGCTTCACAACAGGTTGGCAGAGGCTAGAAATAGGCATCATGGCAGGGTGTACAATTTCTCCATTAGCATTTACTATGGCGATGGAAGTAATAATCAGGGCTTCTAAGTGGGTGGTAGGTGGGGAGAGACGGCAGAACGGGTTGCATCTTCCACCAGTTAGGGCTTACATGGATGACATGACACTGGTGACCACAACAATGCCATGTACAAAGAGGCTACTAGAGAAGGTAAATAAGAACCTCAAGTGGGCCAGCATGAAGATCAAGCCTAGTAAATCTAGAAGCATCTCGATATGTAGAGGGAAGTTAAGTGATATGAAGTTTGTCATAGATGGTGAGGAAATCCAAACAATTATGGAAAAGTCAAGGTGGTACAATGTAGAATTGAATGATAAGGAAGAGGTGGTGAAATTTAGAAAACATGTGGCTGCAGGATTGGATAGAATAGATAAATCAGAACTACCAGGAAAGTTGAAGTTGTGGTGTTTGCAATTTGAGCTATATCCTAGGTTAATGTGGCCATTGTCAGTTTATGAAATTCCAATATCTGTTGTGGAGAGAACTGAAAGGTTGGTTAGCTCCTATATTAGGAAGTGGTTGGGTGCTCCTAGGTGCCTAAGTAGTGTTGCATTGTATGGAAAAGGGATACTTCAGCTGCCAGTATCCAGTTTAACAGAGGAATTTAAATGTACCAAGGTCAGGACAGAGCTCTTGTTATCTTGGAGTAAGGACGTGGTAGTTAGGAGTGTGGTTCCAAATCCAACCAAGGTGAGGAAGTGGAACCCAAGATCGTCAGTTCAGGAGGCAGAAGCAGCTCTTAGATATGCAGAGATTGTAGGTAATGTTCAGTTTGGCTGGGGAGGCCTGGGGCTTGGTTCAGGTAAACCGGTATGGAATAAAGCAGGTCTCAAAGATAAAAGAAAGCTGGTTGTGGAACAGATACGTAGACAGGAAGAGATGCTAAGGGGTGCAAAGGTAGTGGCCAAGGCTAAACAGGGACAGTGGTTGAATTGGGAAAGTGTAGAAAAGAGGAAGCTTAGTTGGAGGGACCTGTGGAGTATGGAGGAGAATCATATTAGATTCCTGGTAGGGGCTACATACGATGTGTTACCAACCCCCCAGAACCTAACACTGTGGGTAAATGAGGACCCATCATGCCCATTGTTTTCAGGTACCGCAACCTTAAAGTATATTTTGTCAGGCTGTAAAGTTAGCTTGTCACAAGGCCGATATACATGGCGACATAACCAGGTGTTGAAATGTTTAGCTGCAGGCATCGAAGGGAAACGAAGACAGGTGAATTCAGAAGGTGTTAAGGATAGGAGTTTAGCAATGCAGTTTGTCTGTGAGGGAGAGAAATACAGAAGGGATAAGTTAGTAAGGAGGATTAGTATCAGCCCTGTTTCTACCTGGAGCTCGCATGTATGGAGCCTGGGTTTGTTGAAGGTGGTGGTCCTGTTTGGGCTGAGAAAGCCATGTGTAAGTAAGGTAAAGGGGTTGGTGTGAGGAGCAGTGAGAGCTGGCATCAGGGGAGTGTCTCTGGGACGCCAGAGATCACTGTCTAGCCTCCTGGAGGTGTCGTGGGACCAACTAGACAAAACACTGGTGAAAGGAGGTTCCCACCCAATGACCCCAAAGACATGTTAGTTATCACTGCTCACTGGTCTGTATCGTTAAGCCTTGCCATAATGGCTTATTATAGGGCTTAGGTTATTCACTGAGTGCTGATCCTTTCTCTAGAGCACAAACTTCTTGTGTTTATTTGAATTGAACTATGAAGAATTACTGAAGAGACAAAAAGCCTCTTAGTGCCTTCA